ACAGTGGGAAAAATATACCCTTCTCCAAAACAAAAGCTGCTTAGCAGTCATTCTACCGGTCCTGCAGAGTCTGTTCTTTTGAGACTGGAGTACACATCTGCAGTCTGCACCTGTTTGGTATTTAATTCCTCATGACATCAGAAGATAGAGTGCAAACACTGAATAAAATGGCATTTTCCATCAAGACCAGAGTCTGGGATTTTACTACCCTCATGGCACTCAAGTGGAGGCTTAAAGGATGTGTTGGTCCCTAACTGGAACACTGCTAGAGCTTTGGACCATCTTGTGTTAATAACTCTTGCCACTCCCATGCCCTTTTGGGTCATGGTCTTCCAGGTTCAAAACCTTGAACAGCTCTGCTTTGGGGTCACACGGATCCCAAACCATTAAGTCAGTCATGTGAGCCCTTTAGCCACTTTACCTCCACCCATCTTTCCAATCCCATCTACTCTGCTTGGTGCATTTTGTGCCCAGGGCTCCAGAACCCCCAGTTAGCTTGTTGCTCTGTCTCCCTTGTCCCCTGGGCTGCGGCCCTGCTCTGGTCCCATCGCTTCGCTCTGAGTGGACCTTTCACATCTCTCCATGTCCCGTCTCGGGCCGCCTCTCCAGGACACTCCTCCACTCCTCTCTCTCCACAGTTGCTCAGGGCATGTGTGTGCTTCAGTTGTGTCTGACTCTGTGCAACCCTATTGACTGTAGCCCACCAGACTCCTCTGTCCGTGGGATTCTCCGGGCAAGGATACTGGCGTGGGTTGCCGTTTCCTCCTCCAGGGGGTCTTCCTGACACCGTGATTGCACCCATGTCTCTTACGTCTCCCGCATTGACAGGCAGGTTCCTCACCACTAGTGCCCACTGGGAAGCCTGCACTCAGGGTATGGGATGTGTAAAATAGCTATCAGGGTCCTGGGCCCATCTCAGAAGCTGGCTCTTGTTAGGTCTTTCCAAGGAAACTCTCCTCTGACTTCAAGGCCCCCAGATCTCCTCTGTTAGACAGCATATGAGTCATGCTTGCATCATAATGCACCAGGCTGCAGAGAACAGCCATGTCACTCCTGTGATGGTGGCAGCGGGCAACTCTCAGCAGAGTCCACCTTTGGAACTTGCTTTTGGCTGAAAAAAGACACCTTGTTCAAGGTCATGTCTCATTCTCAGGGATGGCCCATGAACAATGACTGGGCAATGAAGCAGGACCAAGGACCAGCCCTCTCCTCCAAATATTTGTTGCTGTTTAGTCACTAAGCTGTGTCCAGATCTTTGCAATCCCATGTACTGCAGCACGCCAACCTTCCCTGTCCTTCACCATCTCCCAGAGCTTGCTCAAACTCATGTCCATTGAATCAGTGATGCCATCCAACCATCTCATCCTCTGTCATCCCCTTCTCTTCTGGCCCTCAGTCTTTCCTAGCATCAGGGTCTTTTCCAATGAGTTGGCTCTTTGCATCAGATGGCCAAAGCACTGGAGCTTCAGCTCAACATCAGTCCTTCCAGTGAATATTCTGGATTAATTTCCTTTAGGATTGACTGGTTTTATCTCCTTGCTGTCCAAAGTACTCTCTAGAGTCTTCTCCAGCACCACAGTTGACATCAAGTCTCTGGTGCTCAACCTTCTTTATGGTCCAACTCTCACACTCATACGTGACTGATGAAAAAACCATAGCTTTGACTACATGGACCTTTGTTGGCAAAGTGATGTCTCTGCTTTTTAATATGCTGTCTATGTTTTTCATAGCTTTTCTTTCAAGGAGCAAGCATCTTTTCATTCCATGGCTGCAGACAGTGTCCGCAGTGATATGGGACCAAGGAAAAGGACTTCTCTGCTCCAGACCCACCCCCAGGATCCGCTGAGGCCTGTGTTGTGACTGCATAACTCTCCAGCACCCCAGCCTGCCCAGTCCTTCTGCCTTCCTCCCCTTTAGATATGGGTCCCCAAAGAGCTTCCCAATCAGCTGTCTGCACGCAGAGGTTCTCCATCTCAGAGGTGCTTCCTAGGCAACACGAGCCAGGACACAAGACTCCGAGCAGACCTTGAGGTCAGAGAACATCTCAAGGTCAACCTTTTATCCTGCAGAACAATGTTTGCCTTCAATATTGGAAGACCCTATCACTGTCTGTCAAACTGAATGGCTCATTATATAATGAACAAAGATGAAAAGTAGTTCATCTTTAGGGGGCAATTGCAGACTGTGCTCCCTCTTCTCACAAATAAATCAAGAAGCATCAGTGAAGTGTTAGAAAGATCCAGCGATTTTAAGTAATTTTTCCACTTCTCACATGCGGCACTTGAAGAGTTTATAACAATTACTAATGTCATCATAAAGCAAGACAGCTTCTTCAAAACACAAAGCTAAGAGTTGGAGCATAAAGAAGGCTGAGTGCCAAAGAATTGATGCTTTTGAACTGTGGTGTTGGAAAAAACTCTTGAAAGTCCCTTGGACAGCAAGGAGATCAAACCAGTCAATCCTAAAGGAAATCAACCTTGAATATTCAATGGAAGGACTGATGCTGAAGCTGAAACTCCAGTAGTTTGGCCACCTGATGCAAAGAGCCAGCTCATTGGAAAAGACCCTGATGCTGGGAAAGATTGAAGGTGGGAGGAAAAGGGAGTAACAGAGAATGAGATGGTTGGATGGCATCTCCAACTCAATGGACATGAATCTGAACAAACTCTGGAAGACAGTGGACAGGGAAGCGTGGCATGCTACAGTCCATGGGGTCACAGACTGAACAGTGACAACAAAGCCAGACCCTTCATTAGGAAATAAAGCTCATGCACTGACTACCATGTTTATCTGGCTCTCCAATTTTGTGTGTGACTAACAGGCATTCTGTAGAAGTTCATTCTTATTTCATCTGGAGAAGCAGGGCTGGACTGGATTGCAGTTTTAACTAAAGCTGATTATGCTCCATAGAGCAGAAGGGGAAAACACTAGCTGGCTTCAGCCTCCTGTTGTGAAATATGATGTGTGCAGGATTGGAAAGTAGTTGTGAGATTCACCCACAGGCCATGAACCTGGGAGTTCAATGGTCCATGCTACAGACAGCTGTCATCTCACAATGAAACGTGAAAGGACTCGCAATCTGGAGAAGGTGAGGAGGCGATTAGATGAACATACCCATCAGCCCACAAAGTCAGCCACTCCGGGTGTCACAGTCTCCTTCTCCAGCAAACGTGCAGGTGGACACACTCAACCAGCGTCTCCTCCACCGGCTGGACTCAGAGTGCTCTGTTGCCATCATTTCCCAGCTGCCGCCCTGAGCAGTTTCCAAGGGCCAGGGGCTGTGCTGAGTGTTTGACTCACATCTACCTTGGCTCAATGAATCCTCACAAAAGCCCTGTGAGATTAGTGTAATTATCGCTATTCTGCGGATGAGAAAATTGGGGCTCAGAGATATCCAGTAATTGACTCAAGTCCCCACTGCCATTAGGTGGAGCAGGGGTGATGACGTGTGATACCTCAGTGCTCAGCTGCACTGCCTCCTGCCTTATTAAGTTCCCTCCACCCCCAGCGCCCAGTGCCCAGCAAGAGAGTGCGTTCATCACGGCCGCAAAAGTATCACCTCGGTCATCTCCATAGTGTCTCCTCCCTGCCCAGCACCGAAAGCCATGCGGTAAAGGGAGGAGCGGGAGGGTGACCCGCCTCCTGAGAAGCCTGCATGCGGCTCGGGCAGCACCAGTTAGGCCTGGACACGGACCAACAGGCTGGGTCCAAACAGCCAAAGGAGTGCGCCAAGGCTGTATGCTGTCACCCTGCGCATTTAACTTATGTGCACAGTACATCATGAGAAACGCTGGGCTGGAGGAAGCACAAGCTGGAATCAAGATTGCCAGGAGAAACATCAATGACCTAGGATATGCAGATGGCACCACCCTTGTGGCAGAAAGTGATGAAGAACTAAGAGCCTCTTGATGAAAATGAAAAAGGAGAGTGAAAAAGTTGGCTTAAAGTTCAACATTCAGAAAATTAAGATCATGGCATCTGGTCCCATCATCTCATGGCAAATAGACGGGGAAACAGTGGACACAGTGGCTGACTTTATTTTTCTGGGCTCCAAAATCACTGCAGATGGTGATTGAAGCCATTAAATTAAAAGACGCTTACTCCTTGGAAGGAAAGTTATGACCAAGCTAGACAGCATATTAAAAAGCAGAGACATTACTTTGCCAACAAAGGTCCATCTAGTCAAGGCTGTGGTTTTTAAAGTGGTCATGTATGGATGTGAGAGCTGGACTGTGAAGAAAGCTGAGTGCTGAAGAATTGATGCTTTTGAAGTGTGGTGATGGAGAAGACTCTTGAGAGTCCCTTGGACTGCAAGGAGATCCAACCAGTCCATCCTAAAGGAGATCAGTCCTGGGTGTTCATTGGAAGGACTGATGTTGAAGCTGAAACTCCAATACTTTGGCCACCTGATGCAAAGAGCTGACTCGTTTGAAAAGACCCTGATGCTGGGAAAGATTGAGGGCAGGAGGAGAAGGGGACGACAGAGGATGAGATGGTTGGATGGCATCACCGACTTGATGGACATGGGTTTGGGTGGACTCCGGGAGTTGGTGATGGACAGGGATGGTGCGGTTCATGGGGTGGCAAAGAGTCAGGCACGAATGAGCTACTGAGCTGAACTGAAAGAGTGTGATGAAAGAATGAGGACAGGAAGACAGCGGAGTGTCTTGGTATAGTTTTAAGAGAAAACTCCATGGTGGGGAAATATTTTCAGTCACCTCCATGCGTGTGGACGGAGTCCCTTCAGTTGTCTGACTTCTTGCAACCCTAGGGACCGTAACCCACCAGGCTCTTCCGCCCATGGGGTTCTCCAGGCAAGAACACTGAGTGAGTTGCTATGCCCTCCTGCAGGGGTCTTCTCAACCCAGGGACTGAACCCCATCTCTTAGGTCTGCTTCACTGGCAGGCCATGTTCTTTACCGCTAGTGCTCCCTGGGGAGCCGGCCGTAATAATACTGTACAACCAGCACAAAAAAGTCTGACAATAAGCATTTACTTACTTTCATACACCTGTGGGTTGGTGGATTTCCAGCTGGGCTCCACGCATCTCTCATCCTCCTCCTGGGACCAGGGCTGACTCAGCATCTTCTTCCGCTGGTGAAGACAGACAGGCCAGGGGGCAAGCCCCAGAGCACAGGCACCTTCCAAGGCTTTGGCCACAGCGTGTCTGCCAGTGTCCCACCGGATGAGAGAAATTCCCAGGGGTATGTGGGGCAGGGCAGGGCAGGGCAGGGTGCAAGTGGCTCCCAGTGACGCTCTCACCTCCCGGGAAACCAGAGCTGCCTCCTCCTATGGCAACTGCTGCCGCCTCCTCTCCCGTCCTGCAGAGCATCCCCAGAGCCCTCCTGGGCCCGTGACACCCCGCATCTTTGCCCACAGTGGAGTCAATCAGTCTCTTTACAGGGAGCAGTGTGAGAATCGAGCAACAGTTGCAAATGCAAAATAAATATTTCAACTGGACGCATAAAGTACTTTTTACTATTCATGGCTTTGGATTATCCATGCTTCTGGTCCCCTTTATTTACATGATTAGTCAAGATCTGCTCTAGTTTTGAGTTAGCCCCTTGTCCCATGTGAGGCCGGTTCTCATACAAACACTTGGGCTGCGGTCATCCCTTCCGGAGCAAAACTCATGTGGAGGAGACTTGTTTATAGGGTCCTTTTTCCAGCATCGAAGGCTCCCTATTTTGGCAACTTTCTAAAATACTGATGGTAGATACATGGTAAATATAAAGTGTTAATTAAAAAATCATTAAACGCATAGTAAAGAGATGATACTTGTGTAGATTTGTTGACATAGTGACATTTATAAAGGTCTCAGGGTTCCAAGTTTACATAACAAGAATGTCTGTGAAAGAAAGTGAAAGTGAAAGTCGCTCAGTCTTGTCTGACTCTGTGTGACCCCAGGGACTATACAGTCCAGGGAATTCTCCAGGCCAGAATACTGCAGTGGGTAGCCTTTCCCTTCTCCAGGGGATCTTCCCCACCCAGGGATCGAACCAGGGTCTCCTGCTCTGCAGGATTTTCTTACCAGCTGAGCCACGAGGGGAGCACCAGAGAAACCGGAGAGGATGAAATGCACCCGGCCGACCTGCCGCCAAACCGCAGAGAGCAGCGCTGCAGCTTCCCGAGATTTCCCAGGTGCCCCCTGCGCACAGCAGCCGGGGCCAGTGAAACAAAGGGAGGCCACTGCTTGTAACACAAGGAGGCCGCGAGTGAGAGCCCGACAGACAGAAGCTAAGACTGTCCTGAGAGGCATCAGCTCAGGAGTCAGTGCAGCAGGGAAGCAGGAAGGGCTGGCTGTGCACACATGGAGGCTTGCTGCCTTTGGGGCTCACGGAGGGCTGGGGGAAGCAGAGGGCACCCCAGAGTGTTCCCCTGCTGCAGAGAGTCCAGAGCCCAGAGGTCCAGCCTGGCGGCAGCTCTGCCCAACCCACCTGGGACAAACATCCGTTTCCCCCAGTCCAACCCAGATCCACTGGAGGGGAGGACAGATCACCTGGGGCTGGGCCTGGGCCTGGGACCTTTGCGGGGGCAACACAGAGCTATCAGGGCTTTTCTGAAACAGAGAGAGGGAAGGGGGGTCACTGCAGCCCCGTGGTTCTCATTAGCAACATTCCACTTCCCGTAACTTTCCTCTCTCTGAAATGGCATGAGTTGTGTGTTTCATTTTATTTGTGAGGCTTCATTACACAACGTGGGCTTCCCTTGTGACTCAGATGGTAAAGTATCCACCTGCAGTGAAGGAGACCTGGGTTCGATCCCTGGGTTGGGAAGATCCCCCAGAGAAGTGAACAGCTACCCACTCCAGTAATGTGGACTGGAGAATTTCACGGACTGTATAGTCCATGGGGTCACAAAGAGTTGGACACAACTGAGCACCTTTCACTTTCATTATTATACAACATTGCACAACAGGAAATTGCTCCACCCCTCCCCCTTCCCACTCCACCCCTCTTGTCCTTTGAGGATCACACTTGAGTTTTGGGGGGCTTCCCTGAAGTCTCAGATGGTAAAAAATCTACCAATACAGGAGACCTGTGTTCTATCTCTGGGTCAGCAAGATTCCTTGGAGAAGGAAATGGCAACCCACTCCAGTTTTCTCACCTGGAGAATCCCAGGGACAGAGGAGCCTAGTGGGCTACAGTCCATGGGGTTGCAAAGAGTCAGATTTGGTTTCTCTCTGTTCTATAACAATTAACCACAGGGTCCCTAAGTTTATGGGTAGAGAGATGGGAAGATCCAAGAAGAGAGTGTAACCAGCTCAAACACAGAAGGAAAAGCTGCCACGTCACCCCAGAGGGCAAGGGAGCCTGGCTGTGCAGCCGCTGAGGCTGTGGACACGGGACGTACCGACCTGACAGACGCAGCTCTGACAGGGACACATGATGCTGATGAGATAAGTGTGTGCAAAGCCACGGATCGTTCCAACTGCCTGGGAGGGGAGAGAAGAGGACTGACAGGCAAAGGGGCTGAAAGCAGCAGGTCTGTTGACTGTACATTCACCTTTCCCTTAACACAGAGGGCTAATGTAAGAAATAATTACTCCCCAAGACTCCCATACCCCAGGCTTGAGCCCACACAATAAAGAAGATGGATATAGATGCTCTGGGAGAAAATCATGGGCATGCTGTCTTACAAACATGGACTGTAAAGTCCAGGCCATTCTCCAGGCCAGAATACTGGAGTGGGCAGCCTTTCCCTTCTCCAGGGGATCTTCCCCAACCCAGAATCGAACCCAGGTCTCCCGCATTGCAGGCAGATTCTTTACCAGCTGAGCTATCAGGGAAGCCCGTAGGGTGATATCCATGAGTGTAATCAAGATAAAAAGAAAAAAAAAAACTTGGATGTGGGGATGAAAAAACATTAGAATCAACTTTACCCGAAATGTTTTTGGATGTAAATGCTGGGTAGTGAAATGATCTGTGTGGGTGTCACAGGAAAGCTTGGGAATCCACCTTCATGGTGCTGGGACCCTTTCCTGGAGACGGCACAACCTCCCCCACACCGAAGCAGGGACTCATGTGCACCTGCTACCCCCAAACTCTTCTAAACAATATTGACAAGGGAAATTTCTTACCAGGAACAAAATAGATAAATCTAAATTTCAGAACTGGACAGATACAAAGGACGGAAGATTTGATCTGGATAAATTAGCAGCAGGATAGCCAGGGGGAAATAGCTAGCTCAAGATTGCTCAGCCTCCACACAGAAAGAGCTGCTGCATTTGGAAGAAAAAAAAAAAAATCGGAAAATGCCCTAGCAGGTAGGGAGGGTGATGAATTGTGTGGGAACACAGCCCAGCTCCGCTGCCAGAGAAGATAAATTCCCTCCCGAGTCAGAGGAGGGGAGGCGTTCAGAATTAATGTGTAATAATGGCCCTGTTTCGAGTCTTGGTAAATCCACGTTGAAATGGTTTGTTCTCTTTTTGAATCTCCTGTTATCAGAGGGAGCTTCCGACATTAGTGGAAAGGTCAGAGTCCTGGAGATTATGGGCAACCTGGATCCAACCAGAGCAAACATCCCCAGAAAAGGTCTGATGGTGAGAGAAGAAGGAGCAAACTGCTCTTTCAGAATAAAGGTCACGTGACGTGGCTTCAGTGTTCTGCTGCCGTCAGGACGTACTTGAACTCTGTCCACACAGGAGTCTGGCTGATGGTCTGTGCAGTGAGGTTAGCAGTTCCCAGGGCCCCAGAAAATCCGAGGCGGTTGGCTGGCATCAGCGACTCAATGGACGTGAGTTTGAGCAGGTGCTGGGAGATGTTGAAGGATAAGGAAGCCTGGGGTGCGGCAGTCCTTGGGGTCGCAGAGAGTCGGACACGACCGATCAACAGCACAGCCTGTCCTGGCTTCACTCCGTCGATGCCCTGCTCCTGCTGTTCACTGCATCCTGAGGGTGGAGTGGGCAGCCCTGCTCTCCGCTGAGCACCGGGGCCGGGGCTCCGTGCAGCTCTGCAGAGACCAGGAACTTCCTGCCATCACCCCTGTTGTTGCTCCCCCGCTGAGGCGTTCCAGGCCCCTGAGGTCTCAGCCCTCTGATCTGTGGCCCATGTCTCCTGTTCCACTGGTTGAAACCACCCCTGCCTCCGTCTCTGGGTCCAGGGAGGGCTGAGTGGCTGTGAGCCTCCGGCCTGGCCCTGGCGGCCTCTGGACCAGTGAGGTGATGCTGAGCCTGCATCCCAGGGCCCATCCCACAGCACAAGAGATGGCCGGGGTCTGTCAAAGAACGCCCGCTACACACTGGGCCTGCCTGTCCTTCTCTGAACCAGAGCATCCACCCTGACAAGAGCGTCCTTGCTAGTTGCTCTTCCTGTGTTTAACCAGAGAATAGGAGATTTAGCCTTTAATTAATTAATATTCAGGGCAGGATTATACCATGTTGTGGTCTGCACAGCCCATTTGAAAACTGAAATCCAGCCTTCCATTTGGTACACCGTACTGCCTGCTGGGAGCAATTGACTTTCCGTGAAGCATCATCTATTAAGAGACTGAGCCTGAAGATGGAGTCGGGGTGTGGCTATGCCGAGCTCCCCTGAGAACCAGGGCGAGACAGCAGGGCTCACAAAGGCCGGGGGAGCCAGCGGGCGGGACCCTGGTGTGGAGGGGGCAAGGATGGCAGGTCCCTTTGGATCTTGTCTTTGGAGAAGAAACTCACCCTGCATCCAAGACTGGATTCAAAACTGTAAAAGACTCCCAATAGACGGCACTAGTGGTAAGGAAGGGACTTCCTGGTGGCTCAGATGGTAAAGAGTCTGCCTGCGGTGCAGGAGACCCAGGTCCGATCCCTGGGTTGGGAAGATCTCCTGGAGAAGGAAATGGCACCTCACTCCAGTACTCTTGCCTGGAAAACCCCTTGGATGGAGGAGCCTGGTGGGCTACAGCCCAGGGGGTCACAACGAGTCGGACATGACTGAGCGACTTCACAGCACAGCAGTGGTAAAGAACCTGCCTTTCAACGCAGGAGACACAAGAGAGACGGGTTCCATCCCTGGGTCGGGAGATCCCCTGGAGGAGGAAATGGCAACCCACTCCAACATTCTGGCCTGGAGAACTCCAGGGACAGAGGAGCCTGGTGGACTACAGTCCAGGGGGTTGCCAAGAGTCAGACACGACGGAGCAACTGAGCAGAATTGACTGAGAACAGAGAGTTTGTGCCGGCATCTCCCCAGCTTCTTCCACTGGAAGGCGGTCCTCTGTCCTCCGAGCCTCGTAGGTGGTGTGGATCACTGGCCACCACGGACCTGCCCATGTGAGGGTCGGATCCCAGGGCCAGTCGTGTCAGGAGCTGACCCCAACCACGAGCAGTCCCGTGCCAGCTCTGGGACCCCTGGGCCCTGCACCAGACCCTAGGACCTGGTTTGCCTGCCGGGAATGGTACTAGTGCTAGGGCCTGGCTTCACCAGCCTGTGGGCAGGCACCAGCCTTGGGCTCTCCTAGGCCCCAAGTCCACCCACCAACAGGCCAGCATTGCCCGGGGCCCCTTGCGGTTCCACAGCCAGCCTGGTGACCCAGCCCCACCCACCGGTGGCTGGCAGCCCCACACAAGGCAGGCATGGCAACCAAATGGACCAGGGCCAACCAGGCTGACCAGACCACCCCCTGTAGTCAATCTGCCACTGCAGGAGGACCCACGCAGACTGCACCAGGGCACCACTGGGGCACGGAGCTCTGCTGACGAGAGGGAAGAGCGCTGCTGGGACCCTCAGCGTGTCACCTACAGAAGGCCACCTCTCCAAGGTCGGGACGCATAGCAACATACCAGATAGATAGAAATAAAAACAAGCTAGGCAAAACAAGACGACAGAGAAACACATTCCAAAACAAGGAACAAGATTAAAACCCCAGAAGACCTGAGTGCAGTGGAGACAGGCAATCTACCTGAGAAAGTGTTCAAAGTCATGACTGTAAAGATGATCAAAGAACTCAAAAGAAGAATAGGGGACCCCTCTGGTGGTCCAGGGGCTAAGACCCTGTGCTCCCCATGCAGGGGCCCAGGTTTGATCGCTGGTCAGGGGACTAGATCCCACATGCCACAGCAAAAACATCCTGCAACTAAGACCTGCTGCAGCCAAATAAATAAATTAAATATTAAAAGAAAAAGAAGAGTAGATGTGCAGAGAAAGAAGTTAGATTTTTTTTTTTTACAGA